CCTATATATACTATTAGCCTACTATATAAATACTATATATACTATTAGCCTACTATATAAATACTATATATACTATTAGCCTATTATATAAATAATATATATACTATTAGCCTACTATATAAATACTATATATACAATTAGCCTACTATATATACTATATATACTATTAGCCTACTATATAAATACTATATATACTATTAGCCTATTATATAACTACTATATATACAATTAGCCTACTACATGTATACTATATATACACTATTAGCCTACTATATAAATACTATATATACTATTAGCCTACTATATAAATACTATATATACTATTAGCCTACTATATGTATACTATATATACACTATTAGCCTACTATATAAATACTATATATACAATTAGCCTATTATATAAATACTATATATACTATTAGCCTACTATATAAATACTATATATACAATTAGCCTACTATATAAATACTATATATACTATTAGCCTACTATATAAATACTATATATACAATTAGCCTGTTATATAAATACTATATATACTATTAGCCTACTATATAAATACTATATATACAATTAGCCTATTATATAAATACTATATATACTATTATTACACTATATAAATACTATATATACAATTAGCCTGTTATATAAATACTATATATACAATTAGCCTACTATATAAATACTATATATACTATTAGCCTACTATATAAATACTATATATACAATTAGCCTATTATATGTATACTATATATACAATTAGCCTACTATATAAATACTATATATACTATTAGTCTACTATATAAATACTATATATACTATTAGCCTACTATATAAATACTATATATACAATTAGCCTACTATATGTATACTATATATACAATTAGCCTACTATATAAATACTATATATACAATTAGCCTACTATATAAATACTATATATACTATTAGCCTACTATGTAAATACTATATATAGAATTAGCCTATTATATAAATCCTATATATACTATTAGCCTACTATATAAATACTATATATACTATTAGCCTACTATATAAATACTATATATA